GAGAAAAATTCCATTCAGGTCTAGTCTGTGGTGACAGGAACACAAGAACTTGGGCTATCATCTGCCCTCTTCCCGTGCTCATTAGCAGGAAATTGGGTCCGAAGTGGAGGCCAGACTCTGCCCCAACCATTCTATTTTGAGTCCCAGATTAACTCAATGAGCTACAATACAATGTCTATCCCTGCATTTTTTAGCTGAATATGATTGAACACCATTTCATGTAATTAAGGAGCATTCTATTTTGTTTTTCTTGGCTCATGTTTTCCTTAGCTTGTTGATTTTTTAAAAAGATTTTTATTGGAAAGTCAGATGTACAGATAGGAGACAGAGAGAATCTTCCATCTGCTAATTCGCTCCCCAAGTGGCTGCAAGTTCCAGAGCTGTGCTGATCCAAAACCAGGAGCCTCCTCTGAGTCTCCTACGCTGCTGCACAGTCTCAGGGCCTTTGGTTGTCCTTGACTACCTTCCCAGGCCACAAGCAGGGAGCTGGATGGGTAGCTGGGCTTCCGGGACATGAACCCTTTGGAACATGAACAAGCCCGTATATGGGATTCCTGCATGTGCAAAGCGAGGACATTAGCCACTAGGCTACCAAGCCGGGTCCAGGTTGTTGATCTTTTTCAGCTCACTGCATAAACTCCATATAAATTAGATTATAAACAAAATTCAAGCTCTTTGCTGCCCTCCAAATTCCACGATAATGACTCTTCATTTCAGGTGTAGTTATCCAGGAATCCGTATTTTTAGAGGATGACTTTGGTTTACACCCATCTTTAATCCAGAACAGAGATAGTGTATGGGATAGGGAAAGAGAAGGCTAGAAATATATGTTGTTGGGTTAACAGTCTTAGGAAATTCAAGTTCCATGATCAAGATTCAAGCTTCATTTGGTATGGATAACATCAAGGGTGTGAAAAGTAATAACTGCAATGAAATGTCACCTCACCTCTGTCAGAATGGCTAAAATCCAGCAGAGTAGCAGATGCCGGTGAGGACATGGAGAAAGGGCAACACATTCACTGTTGCTGAGAGTGTAAATTAGTGAAGCCATTGTGCAGAACAGTATGAAAATCGGTTTTAGAAACCTAGAAGTAGATTTGCCATATGATTCATCAATTCCACTACTGGATATACACCCAAAAGACATGACTATATTGTATCAAGATTACCTGCACCACCAAGTACATCACTCTTACTATAATCAAAATTTTGAATAAACCAAGTTGTCTATTATCAAATGAATGAATAAATAAAATGTGGTATAAACACACAATAAAATACTATTCAGGAATAATATGGAATGTCAGGGCTACAGAAAGTGAGTTAGTGTGCTATGCCACTGTTCTGGTTCCATGTTGTGTCTTTCTTAAAGGAGAATTTTTCACAATTACCATGTCTTAATTGAGTGTCCATTGTACCAAGCCATAAAGCTTTAAACGGTGTCTAGGACTTGGTCTTCATTATTGAGTTATGCATATCTAATGGCAAAAATAGACAGTGGTTTCAATGCAAGGTGATAAGCATTATTAATGAAGAATATAAAAATGTTACAAGTACACAGCTGATACAGTTTACTACAAACAGGATATTTCGCATTCTCAGACAAAGAAACACGGGCTTGTTCGTGTTCAGTAGGAGAGTCTGCCAGAGCCTGCTGAGAGAAAATGGCAGCTGAAGAAAGGGTGCCTTCTGATGTACCTTCCTCAAAATCTTGCTGGGAAGGGATGCCTATGGAGTTCATTCCTCCCATCTTAGTTAGATCCAGTACTGATCATTTCATTCATTGCTTTTTGTTGGTTGAAATATTTCAGAAACCATTTTGTGAAAGTGAGAAGCAAAGCCAAGAAATTGTTTCCTTGTAGTATACTAGTAAAGTTTGACTTAAATTTTAGTCCTAGGTCTTGTGTACCTTCAGATGAGAGGCTGTTTGGTGTAGTGGAGTGTTGGACAGGTGGGAAGTAAGGTTACCATACTATTCACTGTATGATGAACTAACTATATAAACTTCAAGCAAGTCACTCTTCTTCCTAGAGTCTATTATAGACTGGATTCTCTGGGATTCAGTTTGAGACTCTGAGTTTTGTATTCTGAAGATGGATGTTCTTGTCATATTTTCAGGAACAAAACATGAGTTATGCAGGATACAAGACTGGAGGAGGATTTGAACTACAAGGTGGACAACTTTGGTATCTGTCTCCTCGCTGCATTGCCTCAACTGTTGAGTATGAGCTATCCTCCTGTAGGGGAATGGCTTAGGGAAGCAGCAGCTATCTTCTAAGGAGAACAAATCTAAGAAAGGGACACAATGGCAGATATTCAAAGCAACCATAGTTCTGAAGATAGGGCACCACAATGTCCACTACACTTTGTAGTTTTATTGGCAATGGCATGACTGAGTTGGACCAGTTGAAGTCTATCAGGTAACTATTGCCACAAGAAGCCTTTGTAGCAAAGACTCACAAATATCAGTGGTATGTAGTAAGTATGAATACATTACAAGTCTTTTCAGTTCAGCTGATCATGCTAAATAGATTAAGTTTGCTCATGCATCTCCGGTCATTACACATTGCCCAGGTGGTTCTGCTGATCTTGGCAGTGTTTATACCAATACTGAGGTTCAACCGACGGCCAACCATGTGGGATAACTTTGACTGGAATGAGACCAGTGCAAGTAGGCTTGACTTGTCCTCCGGCAGGGTCTTGTGAAGATGTTGTCATGACAATGGTAGAGATAAAAATAATACAAATATGTGGGCTTATTTCTAGGCTCTGTGTTACATGTGTTCCATAGAACAAAGTGAGTCATTAGGTAAGCTAAGAATAGAAATGTGGGACAGCTCAGCTGGTTCACCACTGTAGGGAGGGAAGAAGAGTTAGGTCCATTTAAAAAATCTGCTACAATCTCTGACTGTCATCAAAACCCCTCAGTGGTTTTAGTGAGCTTGTCCCTTAGGTAAATGCTAATAGTGGAATTTTGGTTCTCTGTCCTAGTTACTCATCTCTAAATCTAACTCCTATTAAGGACCTACAAAAGACAATGGTGATTTTTTACTTTTGATTAAACAGAAGCAAAAATGAACGTATGTTAGGAATTAAAGTTGTAATTCTTAGATGCAAGATGAATTATGCTTTTAAAGTCCTGGGATCAGACATTCATTGCTAAGGGCCTTTTTTAGAAATAAGGATTTTTAAAAAATGCTTTTATTTATCATTATTATTCACAAAGTAAAATATATTTCTTGGCAAGTTTGAATAATCAAGACATGTAAAGTAAACAGTGAAAGTCTCTGCCTCACTTCTGCCCACTCCCGTCTCACTCCCCAAAGGCAAGCCTTGTTCAATCACGTTTCTTTCTAGACCTTTTGTTGTATGTGTTCCTATATGTATGGTTTTTTTTCTTTTGCCTTGTTTCTTTTTAAATCAATCATAAAGTCACACTTTCTATTTTATCTTGCAACTTGCTTTTAATCCTCAATAATATATGCTTTTAAAAAACTCAGCTATCTGAATATAAGAGTTCTTTTAACTTGATTTATATGTTGTTAATGACAACAAAAATGAACACTCGAGAAAATAGTTTTGGAGCCAGTATCATGGTGTAATAGGTAAAGCCACTGCCTGTGGCATTGGCTTCCCATGTGGGTACCTGTTTAGCTTCCACTCTCCACTTCCAATCTGAATCCCTACTGATGACCTGGGAAAAGCTGCAGAGGATGGCCCAAGTGCTTGGGCCCCTGCCACCCATGTTGGAGATCCAAGTGAAACTCCTGGCTCTTGACATCAACCTGACTCAGCCTGGTTCAACCTGGACCATTGTGGCCATTTGGGAAATGAGCCAGAAAATGAAAAGTTCTCTCTCTTTCTCTCATTCCTTCTCTCTCTTTGTAACTGCCTTTTAAGTATGAAGTAAATAGATCTTTTTTTTTTTTAAGGTGGGGGTAGAGTTGGTACTGTGATGGAGCAGGTGAAGCCTCTGCCTACTATTGCCAACATCCCACATGGGAGCTGGTTCAAATCCCCATGGCTCCACTTCTGATCCAGCTTTCTGCTAATGTGCCTGAAAAGTAGCAGAAGATGGATTCATGGCCCCTGATACCTATATGGTGATCCAGAAGATGTTCTAGGTTCCTGCCGTTGGCCTGGTCTAACCAGGGCCCTTGTGACCATTTGGGGAGTGAACCAGCAGATGAAAGTCCTCGCTCTCTCTGAGTTTCTCCATCTCTCTCTCTCTGTCACCCTTCAAATGCATTTTAAAAAGTACATCTTTTAATGAATTATACGTATGTAGCGAATAATTCTTCGATTTGTTGTGGAGAAATAAAATTCCTGGTTTAAATACTTTCAACAAACCTAATCAAAATAATAGTTAAATAATTATATCCCTCATTTAGCTATAAGAGTGATGGTTTATGATTCAAAAGCTGTAATGTGTTATTTGCAAATTGCGGTTGTTTCTGCTATTATACTGTAATGCTACTCACCGGGTGGTAATGTGACAATAGCTGATAGAAGCTCTTCACTAATGTTCCTGTTATCACATAGTAAGCTAACTCTGGTAGCCTGCATTTCTTTTTAATATATGAAATATTTTGCATTTACTGAGACCATAACTTAGTTCTACACTAATGAGGAGGAACAGACATGAGTTTCAGCTTTGGACTGTGATCATGGAAATGAGACCCGGTAAAAGAGCCTGGATCTTGTTCCCTGGTGGCTTAGGGTGAAGATTCTTTCTGGGTGAGTTACTTTTTCCAAGTTGACTCAGCAGCCACCACTCTCCCACTTCACCTCGTGATTCCATGTGAATAGGTTGGGTAAGCACGGGGCTCTGATTAGTTTTTGAAGAAAGTCTATCAAAGCCATTCATTTGTTTGGCTCTACATTTTGTTCAAACACAGTGTGAATCAAATATTTAAAACTCATGAAGGCATCCGCCCATTCACTTCGCACTGATTTCTGTCTTATCACACCCATATTTATTCATATTTCATTTATTTCAGATAATGAAAAGCCTATGCGTGTGGTGGATGATGAGGACTTGGTAGACCAACACCTTATCAGTGACCTGAGAAAAGAGTATGGAATGACCTACAATGACTTCTTTATGGTGTTGACAGATGTGGATCTAAGAGTCAAGGTATAGTTTCTTATTTTGGATAATAAAGGGCCAATTGCTGGAAGAGCAATTCTGAATTTCTTTTGTCAAAGAGTCCATTAAATATACAATTACACACAGACTGTTTCATAAGTGGGAAGGCTTTGAAATAGCCCAAGTATTTCATAATGTCTCATGCATTTGCACACACTAATGTGTCCAGAAAATACTGGATTGTAACTGACCTCCCATGTCCCAGCTAGTTGACAGCTGCTAAATTTTTCTTTAATATGCATGATGTACGTTTCTTATTTACTTGTAGAATAGCCATGGTGTGCCAGGCCTTGAGTATGAAGGGGAAGAATGAGCTTCACTGTCAAGAATTCCACTCGAAGACACTTCATGAAGTGCTTTCAAAATGTGTATTGTGAAAAAAACAACAACAACATAGAATCTAATGCTTCTGGATAGATACAAACTTATCTTTTAACTCCATTTTCACAAAAATTTTTGTTGTATTTAATTTAGGCCCATGTTGAATTTTTCTTCTTGGCTCATTATGGATAAATTTAGAGTTTAACAGCAACCTTTTTAAAAATTATTATGCTCACATATAAAGGTTCTGAATCATGAAAAATTGTGCCATATTAGCATTATAACAAAAATATTTAATCTTGTTGGGCTTCATACCCCCAGAGGCTGACTCCAGAACCTGCATCTTAACCATCCTATCTATTGAAGGCATACCATGCGTATATGAGAGACTTTAAGGAAGAGGTTGCAGGGCTGTCATAACTGCAGCTTTGTTCTGAATCTGGAGATAAATCACTTCACAAATTCATTTTGCACATGTATTGCCATGGCTGTGATGTGAGAGGTTGGACTGGATGATCCCTCGGGTCCTTCTGTGACTTGCTGAATTCTTCTGAGGCACAGATCCAAGCCATGTCAAGACTGGTCTCTGGATGATGCTAGCAAGGCCCAGCCAGCCCCCAAATCCTTGTTTGGTTGCTCTTGGAAGTCCAGAATGATTCAGAAAACTGAATTTAATTGTTTTTAAGCTGGATCCCTAGTTGTTTCTGAGACTATGACAGCATTGTCTGTAAGTGATGTTCACCTACTAGAGGAATCCCTAGGACCAGAGGATGGATTATCCTTAATGCCCAGGTCATGTACTCCAATCAGTAAAAATCTGCAGAAATCTGTTGTATGGCTAAGAGCCCCAGAAATGGAACAAGCATTTGCTTGGGGCCCAACATGAAATGTGTTTAACTTACGTAGAATCTTAACTTACTTCTATAAAAAGTTTCTGTTTTTTCTTAAACAGCAATACTATGAGGTGCCAATAGCAATGAAGTCTGTGTTTGATCTGATTGATACTTTCCAATCTCGAATCAAAGATATGGAGAAGCAAAAGAAGGAGGGCATTGTTTGCAAGGATGACAAGAAGCAGTCTCTGGAGAACTTCCTATCCAGGTACATTTACCTTTGCAGTTCTGGAAGACACAGGCATCAATATGTGTGAGTAAATTAACGGAAATGCCAACGAAACACATAGCCACGCTTGTGACTACAGAGTGACAGGGACACAACAGGGGTACAATTCACTTCCCTCCTTCCCTATCCTTCCCCAGATCTCTGATGGAAATTCCTCAGGGACTTAAGAACTGAAGAGCTGCAGAGATTCACTCATAGAAAAAAAACTCAGAGACATCCGTATAAGCATCACCCTAACCAGGCTGCCTGGCTAACAGGCTCCGGAAATACAAGTTCAGTGTTATATATGTATATAGAGAGATAGATCTTTACTCATGTCTGTAAAGGCATGTTCTCCATAAATGAATCACAACATCAGGAATTACATGATGAGTAAGTGGATAATCTGAATTCCTATTGTTCAGGAGATTTGGGTGCTTTAGGAAATAACATCACGATGTGGAAAGAGCATAGGACTTGTCATTCCTGCAACTTACTGGCTATGTTGACTCTGCATTTCTCAGTCACTCACCCCAAAAATGAAAATAATAACAAGGATGCCTACCTTCATGCCAGAGTTGTCTTGGTAACTTTATACAGCTGTGTTTATTTGAGAGACACACACAAGAGTGACAAGGAGAATGACGGGTAGCTACCTCTTTTTTTACTGGATTGCTCCCAAGATAGTCACAGTGGCTAGGGGCCAGGGCAGAGCTGAAGCCCTGAACCAGGGCTGAATGCATGGCTGGGGCCCAATTACTTGAGCTATCATTGCTATCTTGCATTAGGAAGCTAGAATCAAGGGCAGGAGGTACATACTCTGATAGAAGATACAGGCATCCTAACAAGGTGTCATAGCCACTGGTCCAAATAGGCATCCCTATGACCACTTCTCTGTATTCATCTCTGTACCAAGTACTCCAACTTCACTCCTTGGTTTAATCCTCACAATAACCCTCTCTCTAAATGTAGTAACTATTGTCAGATTGCAGGAGGGAAGTGAGGTTAGTGAAGAGTAAAACAACTTTTGCTCATTATTAGCTAGAATTAATTCTAGGAGTCAGTGGGTTCAGAACCACCTGACCATTAAAATACAATGTGAATTATTTTTGGTTCTGAATCCAGAAGTTCAGAGTCTGAGTGAAGGAAAACATTCCTCAAACTACAGGATTTCAGAGCTGTAAGGAACTCGAGGCTCTCCTCCATTCAAATTGTCAAGGCAGTACAAACACCTGAAATGGAGATAGAAGCTGGAAGGCTTTATAAGGTCTTGAGGCTCAGTGCAGCTCTAAGGCCACTCTTGGGGACACAAGGGACATTCTATTCCTTGGGAAAATGAATGCTTGTTCAGCTCTGAAGATCAGCTTCTGCTCCCAGCTCTTCCTTCTAGATCACAGTGACTCAGAAGATTGATGGTAATACCTTTTTTTAAAAGGCGGAAACATCTTTTAAAAGTTTACTTTTGCTCTTAACAGTTAGTGTTAAATATATTTACCTTATAAAATGAAGACCTCAGGTTCCCTGAAAGTTTTGAGTTGGGCTCATGAGTTTTATTTTCCTATTTATAACCTAGTAAAGTTTGCTCATCACTTTTAAGGCAACATTGAGTTACATTTAACCCTGTTTGCAAACCCAGTATTTAATCAAATTCATCACTTCCAAAATCATTATATGTGTATGCTGTTCAGTTATTTGAAATAAACTGCCCAAATCTTTTTAAATAAGAAATCAGATATTTAATTTTTCAGATGTTCCAAACACCACATGCACTTGGTAAGATTCCTACTTAAGCCACACTTCTAACCCAATTATTCAGTCACACATTGTAATTTGGAGTTTTGGGGCTGTCAGTTTATTAGGCTAAATTCTCTTTACTCTCATAAGAACAGATATTATATCTATAAAGAAAACCGGAATTCTGTTCAAATATACATATTATTACTATACCTTTGACTTTTTGGCAACCTTTCTCCTTAACTCTGTATCTCCCAGGTTTAAAAGATGCGTATCTACTGAACAATCCAACTACACTCTGGTTTCCCACTCTAAAGCATTTCCTGCCCACTCCTTTGGTGTTAGCAGCACTTCAGTCATGGACATTCTAAGGAATTATTGTCATCATTCCCAGGCAGTGTCTTTGCAATTTCTATACTAACAGTTTCAAATTTTAAAGTATATCCAGCATTATCGCAATTTTGTTCAACCTCAAAAGCTTGCAGTACTCATCCTGGTTTGGATTTGGCAGATTTTTGAAGACTTATATAAATATTTCATATCTAAAATATTTTTAATTACATAAGGTCTTAAGATATGGACATGTATTTTCCATGAAATTTAGGATATGTGTGGATTCTTATAATTAGCCTATTTCAGGAACACTATCTGTCTTATGATGATATTCTAAGTGGTATAAAATTACATTTTAAATGTTTTGTATGTGTGCCTGACTATGGTCACAGCTCATATCAATCTGTAAATCATTATCATCATTCTTAAAAATTAGAGTAAAATAGTGTATTAAATGCAAAACAAGGAAGCACTAGTTTGATTTGTGGTTACTCCATTTACTGTGTGATCTTGCACCTATTAACCAGTTTGGGCTTTAGTTTCTCATTTGCAAAATGAGTGCAATAAGTGTGTGTATTCTTAAAAATCTTATGAAGGAAAAAAAATCTTATGAAGGATGATTTTACAAAGTTAATGATGGTCCAAGACCTAGTACAAAGTAAGTAATCAGCAAATGCTCACTATTTTTAATAGTGTTAGCACCAGGTCTGTAACTCCTATGACAGAAATGTGTCCTTAGGGGATATGTAAAAGAGATTCGGAGGACTGTTCAAAGTTACACTTGGGAAAAGAGAAATATTAAAAACACACACCACACACAAAACACTTCAGTAACAGCTCTTTGAATAAACAGTATATGAGTGGGAATTTTCCTTCAAATTTGCTGAGCTATTGGTGCATCTGTATAGTCTGTTTCAGCTGACCATATCCTAAGGCATTCTGGTCTTCAGCAAAGCTCATTTGGGTCAGGCTATAATTACCTTTCCCAAACACAGAAGCTCCAAAGAGTAGGTACACTCATTGGGGGTGCCAGCTAACAGCCGCAAACACACACGTGGCTTGTAGGACTTTGATTTTTGGAGAAGCCAGAATGATTCAGAAGCAATTTGAAATAAAGACCTGAGTCAGGATCAGATTTCTTCATACGTCCTTTGGCAGTTATTTCTCTCAGCGTTGTGACCTGAGGACTGTGTCTCTATAACAGCAAAGTTTGTGGGAAGCCAAGTCATGACTTGGGGGAAATGGCCTCTCGGTTGTGTCTGGGACAGGGAAGTTCAGGCTCCGTGGCTCTCCAATCAGGACTGCATTCAGCGGCGCACACAGGTAAACAAGTTAAAATAGACTTCACCTGAAATAGCTCCCTGCAGGTCACTCCACAGCTCCATGCGAGGCCAGCAAGGCTGGCCTGGCTGGAGTCCCCGCAGGGCGTGGGGACAGTAATGGTTTGGCACACCTCCCACGGAAACAGAGGAAGCAGAGGAGACCATGTCTGTGACCTGACAGCAGCATAATTCAATTTCCCCAGAAACCTCGAGGGTCTGCAATAACCCCTTTCCTCTCATCTGTGCCAAACGCCTTCATCTCCCTATCCTTGGTGGAGGTTTTTATTTTTCTTTGCCTTTGAAGAAAAATAAGCAGAGGAAGTGAACGTAATGTCACAGCAAGCAATTCTTGGCAAGTCCTGAGACAGGCGTCCATTCAGGAGTTTTATTTCATAAGACTATCATTTTCTCACATTCGCCCAAACCACTGTTCCCCACAGAGGCCATTTTCTTCTAAACTGAAAAATTCTTATGTTCACTCTGAGGCTAGACGGGTACAGGCAGAGAGGCCATGGATAAAACCAACCGGCTGCTAGTGAATGTCCTGATGTTGTGTGGGTGCCTGCGCCCAAAGCAGGCAGCGGGGGGAGGGGGAGAACCTGCTTCTCCACTGAAGGTGGAACTTGGGATAACTCCACACAACTGCCCCCTTGGATGCCTGGCTTCTCTTCTTTGCCACCCTCTTGGAGTCTGTGACAGCACCACCCAACCATGTGCCCCACAGGGCAATAGACTAGGGCCAGGAGCCAAAGAAGCTTGTATTTCACTACTGCCTTATTTACTAGAAATTACTAGTTAGGCAAGTTACTTTTCTATGCCTCATTTTTGTCCTCCACAAGATAAAGGAAAATAGCATGCCTTCACCGAGTTTTAATGAGCAGCAGATATTATATAGTAGAACTCAGCTTAAAATGGTACAGAAGTGTAAGGACTAAATCGGTTGCATTATGTCACTACAGTGGAGAGTGCTGGTGGTCTGTTGATAAATAAAGTTTGGGGACTTAGAAACTTGCAGACCAAGCCACAGTCTTCTATATCCATGTCATCATGTAGATAACACACACTGATAGACCTCAGAGTTAATTCTGTTATTATTTATCAAAAGCAGGAAGCTTATTTTTTGTTCTAGGGATAAGGAAAAGCTGAGACTTAGATGAACTGAGTGACCTACCCAGGGATGCCCAAAACATAGCACCCAGAAGGAACTCAAATTTCTTCACTATTACTCAAAAGCTCTTTCTACTGTGTTAGAGTTGAGAGCAGACACCAACTTGACTGCTGTGTTTTCTGCCTGGAATTTCGTAGTTCCAGGTTTGACAACACTGCACTTCACAGAGGTACCATGTGTTTTTCCCTAGCAATGATTGTAGGATTAAATTTTAGAATATTTGCTTTGAAAGAGAATTACTGGGTGCTGAGGAAAGTATACAGGGCTTTTGTTCTTTTTTCCAGGGATCATTATTTACACTTTCAACTATTTCCCCATAATTTCTCATCTCTGCTGATTCCTTAAAATTCAGCATCTTTTCCTACTCTCTTTTCTGTTTGTATACTCATCTCCCAGCCCTCTCCAAGGCCTAGAGAGAACTCTGACAAGACTTGCATTCCCATCGGTCTTCTTCCAAGTGCCTTACTTCTGTTGCTACAGCTGAGTGTGTAATTGTGGCCAGTCTTCATTGCCTCAGAGACTTCCTGCTTCCCCAAGTGACATCATCAGGCATGGCCACCACAGCTTCGTGTCTGACGCATCACGCAGACACCAAAGTAGGCAGACTGTGAAATTATAGCAGCAGAAATTGCAGGAGTGTGGTAATACAGCTTAATGGCTTTGAGAAGCCAGGACACAGTTCTCCTGGTCAGTGGTTTTGAAATTTCAGGCATGGGGAAGAAGACCAACGACGGCAGAGTTACACTGGTGGCTTTTTGCTGGCCTTCGTTGTGAAACGTTGGTAACAGCCTGCTGCTTCTCTTCCAGGTTCCGGTGGAGGAGACGCTTGCTGGTGATCTCTGCCCCCAACGATGACGACTGGGCCTATTCACAGCAGCTCTCTGCCCTCAGCGGTCAGGCATGCAATTTTGGTGAGTGGGCAGCCATCTCATTACTGCTTCCCATTCCACTGTCTTGCTGGTTGATTCTAAAATGGAACATAGATGTTAGCGTGCAAATATTTCCCAGTCCAGACTGTAGATTCCCAGACACATATTCTATTATACTGAGTATAAAGTTGCTTTTAGAGTACAGCTTTAGTCATCTGTGGGTCCTCTCCCCACCCCCTTAATGTTCTCCCCTCTCAACTTCTTATAGATGTGTTTGAAAACATCTACTGCTGTATTTTTAATCATTTACGTAATCTGTATTCTGAATTAATAAAAAAATTATCTCAGAATGACCACAGTTAGTTCAATTTAGTTAGGTAATCTTTGGGTATTAACATAAGAATCATTGCTGGAGATTTCTCTGCAAATTAAATATTTTTCTAAAACAAGGATAGTATTGGAACTGAACATTGATTAAAGCAAACTATACTAAATTAACTTTCCCTTAAAAAGAATTAGATTTGGGGCCCAGCACAGTATCCTAGCAAAGTCCTCTCATTGCATGCACTGGGATCCCATATGGGTGCTGGTTCTAATCCCAGCAGCTCCACTTCATATCCAGCTTCCTGCTTGTGGCCTGGGAAAGAAGCAGAGGACAGCCCAAAGCCTTGGGACCCTGCATCTATGTGGGAGACCTGGAAGAAATTCTGGGCTCCTGCATTTGGACTGGCTCAGCCCCAGCTGTTGCAGCCACTTGGGGAGTGAATCAGCAGACAGATCTTCTTTGTCTTTCCTCCTCTCTGTTTATCTGACTTTCCAATAAAAATAAAATAAATTTTAAACAAGAATTCAATTTATGATTGGATACCAAAAAGCAATGATATTTGCTCAACAATAGCCTTGTTTTAAAAATAAGCAGATCAAAGAGAAGCAAAGTTTATTATTTTTTAAAAATAACCTTTTCACTTTTTAAGGTAACATTTTTATTATTTTTCATGTTAATGTAGTCTTACTACAAAGAGAACAGATTCAGTATGACAAAGAGATTATAATTCTAAGAAAATAACGATATTGCCCCTTCTCTTTCTTTCTCTTTTTGTCATTTTTTTCCCTTTGGACAATAACTAATATCAATAGCTTGATATTACTTATGAATTATTACTTTTTCTAGGCTGAGAACATATCTAAAATCATAAAATCTTGATAGGATGACTTGGCAGCCTCTTTATCCTCTGATCTTGTTCTGAATCCCTTCTTGGGCTTAATTTTCTAAAGAATTCCAACAGGTGCAATGGCTCCGTTAGCTAATCCTCCACCTTAAAGTGCTACCATCCCATATGGACACAGGTTTGTGTCCCAGCTGCTCCACTTCGCATCTAGCTCCCTGCTTGTGGCCTGGGAGAGCTGCAGAGGATGGACCAAAGCCTTGGGACCATACATTTATGTGGGAGACCTGCAGGAGGTTCCTGGCTGCTAGCTCTGCATCAGCTTAGCTCTAGCCATTGCAGCTATTTGGGGAGTGAACTAGTAGATGCAAGACTTTCTCTCTGTCCCTCCTTCTGTCAATCTATCTTTCCAATAAAAATAAATAAATCACTGTCTTTGTTTAAGGATTCCAACAAGTTGCTAAGGTATGACCCTCCCCTCTTGCCTTAACTTCAGCAGAGAAAAATGAAGGCTGTGCCTGCCTGCATTTCCCCATTGTGTGCTCTAAATAATAGGAACATGTGTTTCCATCCAACCATCTTGTGAACGACACACTGTTGATGGAATCTCCAGCTTTTTCTCTGGGAAATTAATCCAGAAAAACTGTCACAACTTCAAGCTTGTCTTCTCTTTTTTCCCTCCAAAATACTAATCAGCTTAAATCAGCTTAGATTTTTTTTAATGCTACAATGGCTTTTTTTTTTTTTTTTTACTTTTAGTAGAGTGAGAATCATAGCTTTACAGTAAATTCTATTTTGAGCTATCAAAAAAGAGAAATTTAATCTATTTGTTAATGCTGACAGCTGCAATTGTAATTTTAAAATAAGATATTTTCTTTTTTACAGGAAAAATTTAAAATGGGTGATTCGACATGATTGAGATATTCCATATCCTCAAGAGATCTTTAACTTTCAGATATCAGGTCCTTGGACGTAGCAGATGTCTCACACTCCGTTCTGCTAATTCTGTGGCTTTCTCTTTGTCTCAGGTCTCCGCCATATAACCATTCTGAAGCTTTTGGGCGTTGGAGATGAAGTTGGGGGAGTTTTAGAACTGTTTCCAATTAACGGTAATATGTTGTTACTTTATGATATTATTTTTAATAGTTATTTTCATATACTTGAAAGGCAAAGAGTAAGGGAGAGAGAGAAATAAAGAGAAAGAATGAATCTTCTCCATTCATTCTTTTTTAAAAATTTATTGCTATTTTTTTTTAAATAATGATTACATGGTTGATCAGGGTGGGAAGGATCAAGGTTTAAGGGAAATTGGGTGAATTCATTGCTTCCAAAAATTTTTGCTATTTCTTCTTCTTGTTCCTGGGATAAGGGGAGAAACACAGGGGAAAACATTCACAGGTTTCCACACATCCCAGAATCGAAGGATGAGGAACCACCGCTTTATATCAACCCAGAGTTTCAATGCGTACATATTCCTAGGGTTCTGTCCAAGTGGTTTGGATAGTTCTGCATTTCTGCCGACTTCACCGATCCAAGGATTGCATCACCCTCCCAATGTCCACTGGCTCCATTCACCAAGATTTTTGCTGTCATCGTTTGACTGGGGTTGTTGTCCAGTTAGTTCTGTTCTTCTGCTATGGCACCAAATATGCTGCCTTAATCTCCTTTCACAACAGGGCCTGTGTCCAAAGCTCCACCTTTTCCATTAAGTAGGGCATGTTCTTACAGACTAGTCCAAGAACCTGGCCAGGTGTCACAAGCATCGCAGGATCCCCCACCCCTGGGGCTCACAAACCCGACACCAACCTAGTATGTGGGCCCTGGGACCCAGATGAGGAGACCCAAGCCCCACCATATTCCCCACCCTGGGGTTCATGGAACCAAAATCCACCTAGAAGGCAGGTCCCAGGATCTGGACCATTCACTCTTCAAATGATTGGAGTGACAGGGGTTGGGCCTGACCCACGCCAGGAGGGTGGTACTCCATCTGGTCTCCCAAACGGGTAGCAGTGACTCAAGCACATTAGCCATTAGCTGTTGTCTCTCATGGTGCATTCAAAGAAAGCAGGATCAGGAGCAGAAGAGCCAGGACTTGAATCAACACTTTCATTTGGAATGCAGCTGTCCCAAGTGATAGCTTATCCTACTATGCCACAAAACCTGCCCAATGCTGTTATTTTAAAACAGCAGAAGTTAGTGTGTTAGTAGCAGCAGGTATGGCTTGAAAGTGAACAAAGTTCAATTGAATCCTTCCTCCAGTCTTACATGTGTGGGTGTGCACAGGTGTGTGTAAAGGAGGGCAGAGTGCAAAGATTAATATTGATTTTACTATAAAACCATTCAAAGTATCCATTTTTATGTAAATAATACTTTATATAGGGGTTTATGATTTACAAAGCATTTTTTCCTATTACCTCATTTAACTTCAGGATAGTCTAATGAAATACATGGGTCATATATAAAATGTGTGATAAAATGCTGGGCAGAGCAGAGCACACAAAGTACTAGCTTCTTTTATTATTCTCCTTTTCTTCCCTCCACCCCCGACCCCCGTTATCAGCATTGTTTAAATTCATTAATCCAGATCTTAGCATAATTGGTCTTTCTCACATTTCAAAATGAAATAAGCTATTTGTTGTAAAGACATGTCAAAAAGAAAGCTGTCATTGCGAATAAGTAAGTAAGATAATGGGAAATAAACTAAGAGACATATGAGATGCGATGTTTGCTAGCAACAAGCTTGAAAGGAGTGTCTTTTATTTACCTTGTCACACTTCCTATGGAAGAGATATGGTTCTCAGAGTTTGACAAAAATCACATTGCTGACAAGCAGGAACTTTTGATTTCTAATAGGACAAAAATTCACAATTGTTTTAATTGGATTTGGAGTTAAAGAGATTCATGTGCCCACTCTTTAGCCTCAGAGCTTGTATTTTTTTGGAAGTCTGCTCTAATCCACTAACAACTCTTCCAATGCTGTTCTAGGAAGCTCAGTTGTTGAGAGAGAAGATGTGCCAGCCCACTTGGTGAAAGACATACGTAACTATTTTCAAGTGAGCCCTGAGTACTTCTCCATGCTTCTAGTTGGAAAAGATGGAAATGTCAAATCCTGGTATCCTTCCCCAATGTGGTCCATGGTGATTGTGTATGATTTAATTGATTCCATGCAACTTCGGAGACAGGAAATGGCTATTCAGCAGTCACTGGGGATGCGCTGTCCGGAAGATGAGTATGCGGGCTATGGTTACCATAGTTACCACCAAGGATACCAAGATGGTTATCAGGATGACTACCGCCACCACGAGAGTTACCACCATGGATACCCTTACTGAGCGGAAGTGTGTAACCTTAGCTCTGGCCAGTGTCCCCTGCAGCTGCTGACTCCACATGTGGCCAGCTACATCAAGTTCTACATTGCCTACATTCCCTGCCTGTTCCTTTCAGTGTTCTTCCACAATTCAATAAATAGCAAACTTTCGCCTACACACGAGTTGTCATTGGGGCCTTAAATCATAAAGACATTATAAAAGAAGTGTTAGTTTCTCTAACTGGAGGAAATTTGGTGCTAAATAATGGTACTGAGAGTGAATATTACTGTTCTTTTCCCTATATTATGAACATAGTGTACAAAATTCTGGAAATATAGCATCTATACATTTTTATTTGGCATGTTAATTATTCTGTGAAAATTATGACTGTTAAGGAAAAGATCACAGCATGAATGTATTCAGGAAATACGTGGACAGATAGCTTCTTCACTCTTATGCAAACATCAATCTAAGGATAAGCATAATGGCTTTGCTCTGCATGAGTTTCTTTCACGAAGCCTGACACCTCAGGAGTCCGGTGGTGGTGGGCACCGAAGGCAGAGGGAGATCATACCCAGTTTTGTTACCTAAGCTGCTTGCTGCCTCTTGCAGAACTCCCTTCGGGAGTCCCACCGTCAGGGAAGGCCTCCCAGAATCTGACGCTGCAGCTGGTGCCCCTGGCAGTGTCAGCCTGGTAAATCTGCACCCCTGTACTTGCTTGCTGATGGGCTTATTACCATAACTAGTGTTTGATTCTTAGAAAGTTACAAGGAAAAAGCTCTTGTTCCTTATATTTCCAAAGGCCAGTGTTACCAAGTTACATTACCAAGCGAATAAAAGTGTAGCTGGAATATGAGAGTTCAATCTCTTTTTTTTGTTTTTAAGATAATTTATTTAAACAGCAGAGTGACAGAGAGAGGGAGAGAAGGGGAGACAGCAAGAGAGAAAGTATTGCCATCCCTTGCTTCATTCCCCAAATTTTCACATCTAGAGCCAAGCCAGGCTGAAGCCAAGAATTCAGAACTCTAAGTTCCTACACATGGGTGACTTCAGCTGTTATCTGCTGCCTCCCAGGGGCGTTGGCAGGAAGTTGGAGAAGAGGTGTCTTGTAACTAGGACTTGAATTGGGAGCAGATACGGGATGTGGACATCCCGAGTGGTGGATTAATTTAGCCTGTCACAATGCCCAGCCAGATAGAATCCTTTTTTATGGGGGCACTTTTTGTGGATAAGAAACGACAAAACCACAAAAAATAAATGAATGAAAAAACGCAAAAACCAAACCAAAACAAAGCCAAACCTGGAGCAGGGATATTTTATTACTTTCTTTAAACCATTTGTAACTATATGACATGTCCATTTTAAATTATTTTACTAGGTTTTTTTTTTGAGATATTACTGAATTGAATATGTTTCCAGAATAAACATACAAATCAGTACTTTTAAACTATTTATTTTCATTATTTTTCATTATTTTTGAAAAATTATTTATTTAAAAGGCAGAGTTATAGAAAGAGAGAAATATTTCACTTGTTGACTCATTTCCCAAATGGTAGGAATGGCAAGGGCGGGGTCGTGCTAAACTCAGGTGCTTCATCCAGGTTTCCCATGCGAGACCAGTGGCCCAAATACTTTGACTAGCTTCTTCTAATTTCCCAAGTGCATTAGCTGGGAACTAGATCAAAGTGGTGCAGCTGGGACTCTAAGTAGCCAGCACTGCAGTCTGAAGTTTTACACACTACACCACAGCACTGGCCCTTATTTTCACTTTTAAGGTAGAAAGAGACTCAGAGACAGAGATTTTCTAATGCTCTGATACACTTTCCAAATGCCATCCGTGACTGGAGCCAGGCCTGAGCTAGGTCATCCAGGAGCTGGGGAAATCAATCTCACGTCTTGCAAGTGAGTGGCAAGGATGTGAACAGTTGAACTGCTGGCTCTCAGGTTGTGTAATAACAAGACGCTGGACTCAGAAGTGGAGCTATGACCTGAACCTAGGCACTCGCAAAGTAATGCATGTTCCCCAGTGGTATCTTAACTGTGCTTGCCCCTAAACTAGCGTTTTTTTTGGTTTTTTGTTTTAATTTACAAAGCAAAACCAGTATGATTTCCTTCATTTAGATTTTATGTATTGAACATCATGTTAGAATAATTTTGGGGCAGGTGTGTTGGCTCAATTGGCTAATCCTCTGCCTACAGGCACTGGCATCCTTTATGGGCTCCAGCTCATGTCCTGGCTGCTCCGTTTCCCATCCAGCTTCCTGTTCATGGCCTCGGAAAGCAGTGGAGGATGGCCCAAAACTTTAGGATCCTGCACACCTGTGGGAGATCCGGAGGAAGCTCCTGGCTTCAGATTAGTTCATTTCTTGCAGGCGCAGCCATTTGGGGAGTGAACCAGTGGATGGAGGATCTTTCTGTCTCCTCTCTATAAGTCTGCCTTTCCAATAAAAATAAATAAATGTTTAAAAATACAGTTTTAATAAAAGTCAATCTCTATTAGGATAAAATGGCTTTCAGAATAGATCACACAGCAAAACCAAACTTTAGGTTATATGTAACAGATACATTTAAACAAAAAGCATTAGAAAGTTTGAGAATGAAATATACACCAAGGAAAATGCAACCACAAAATGTAGGGGTGAATATGTTAACTTCACAAAATCAGGAAAGAAGGCTATATTCTTATGTAAGGGGTATAATTCAGTGAAGACACAATTTATAAATATCCATCTATCAAATAATATGTTATGCATATTTTTTTACTGACTGAAGTGAGATAATCTCTCATGTGGTTTTTATTTGTATTTCCCTGGTGGTTAGCAAAACACATCATATTTTTCAAATGTTTATTGACCATTTGCATCTCTTCTTTGGAAACATGTCTATTCAGATAACTGGATTGTTCTATTGTTGCATTTTAATCTTTTTCTAGATACATAGCTTGCAAATATTCTCTCCCATTTTTGTTGCTTTTTTCTTCATTGTGTGGATTGTTTGCTGTGCAGAAGCTTATTTCGATATTTCATTTGTCTATTTTTACCTTTATTGCTGTTCTTTTGTATTCTTATCTAAAAAAAAACATTGCCTATGCCAATGTCTTGGAGTGTTTCCTTCAGTAGTTTCATAAGACATATCAAAGCATATTTATCTCCTTTTCTTCTATTTCTTCTAGTTTACATGTGTTTCAACAAATATTTATCAAAAATATTACCAAGTCATATTTACAAGTTTGTCCTCAGATACAAAGTGAAATTCCCAGACACTATTTTCTATTCATAATGGAATATTTATTTTTCCCACTGCAATTATTAACTAATAATTGAAATATTTTGGTATTGCTTATTAATTTTAATGAGTATAGGTATTAATGTGCATCTATGCCACATTTGAATATTTTCACTTGATTTTTCTCTGCTTATTGCATCCACAAGCTTTTTTTCACATCTCTAAACTTTATTGTGATAGTAAAATTTGTAGCTCAGTGAATTTGAGAAATCATTAATTCTGTGCTTTCTCCATAAAGCTACCACTAATTTTTGTTTTACAGAAAGTTGTAGTCCAGAAAGTTCAAATGACTTCAGAATGCAACTGCTATCACATAAATTATGAACCCATTTTGCCTCTCTCCCATGCTAGTGAAATGTCCTCCTCCTTTCTTGACTTCTATACCAGCTGTGTGAAGTGTGCCACTAGGAAAAACAAGTTGATGTACATCGCATTTTTGGCATAGTGAAGGCCAGCTCTATATTGCTAATCAAGGGAATGGGTGTTTGTCTTAGCAGCTCACACCTCTGTTCCACATCCTGGGGTCCTGGTTCAATTCTCGGCTCTGACTCTGGCCACCAGCTTCCCACTACTGCAGGTGTGGGAGGCAGTGCTGACGGCTCAAGTCATGAAGCTCCAGCCACCCACATGACCATACATTCCGCCAATAAAATTGGATTTCCTTATCGTTGCTTCTGAAATCAGACAGGGACAATTTCTAAGAGGCTCAAACAGGCTCAATTCCAAGAAAAATAATAATGAAAGAATTTCATCTGCTAAGGAAACCATGAGCCAGGAACAGTAGAACTATTTGCCTACAGGGTAATTTAATGAGGTTCTAACTCCTAGAGCCAAAAAAAGATAATGTTTTTTCATAACACAAGATTAATATGCATCATTTTTCTTGTTTCACTGGCACTGAGATCCTAATTAGAAAGGCCTTTGAACTCTCCTTTCTCCAGTGAGTGAGCAAAGAAGACAAGGGTCACCCTTTGGAAAAAGCCATAATTCATCAGAAGGATCAAAACACACTGGAGGAGGTGCTATTGGTAAATGTCCTCACCTTGTGGTATGAGGAAAAATATAAAGTGCATGGCAGAATATGAGAGGATGGACCTCAATCTGTTTTGCTGGTGCAGTTTCAAATTTAGATGTTTGTTTTTGATAGAGGCATTTCTTTCCAATCTGCTTCTCTCCTAAAGTAAAAGCTCATAGATGGTTTTTGACAAAAGTCATGGGATTTTAGTAATTATAAGGAAAATTACCTGTTAGCATCAGAAAATCCTGAAAGATACTCAGGATACAGTCTTGACAAAGTTGCTGGTTGTCACCATTCCCTTCTGCGAATCTTCAAGAATGGCCTTCCCTGTGAATTCCCCGGGTCTCAGAGGTGAATAGTAATTCAGCAGAGAAACCCTTCTTCTGACAGGTTGGCAGGGGCCAGGGAGATACGGTGGAGCCAACCTCACTTTCTGGTATCTAGCTAACAAGGAGGCCCATACCTTCTTGGCTTCAGGAAGCCTGGAGGATAAAAACAGCTCAGCATCAGGTGAATGATGGCCTCTGTGGGCTCTGACTGATAAATCTCCATATATGATGTGTGGAGCTTTGAATAAAATACCAGTGTCTCAAAACAAACCTCTGCTCTTGTCTCCAATTTCACTTTTCCCTGCAGGATTCCTTCCCTTTCCTCCTTGTTGCTCCTTGGCTGATCTGCACATCATGCTTTGGGAGTACACAGAAGGTGTGTAGGTATTCTTCATGTCCAGGGAAAGCACACTTGAAGCACTTCTGTAGCTCTCTCAAAATTGTTGTGCAGTTTGTGATTTCCTTATCTTGTGTTCTTCAGGTCCTAATCAAGATTCCTGCTATCAAGATTAGGGTGCAAGGGGCAAAGGGCCTGATGCATCAGA